AAAGAGAGAGGAGAGAGAAGAAAAAAAACCGCTTTTTACCAACTGCGCTCCTCACCTCTCTCCCTCACAGCAGCAGCATCCCCTCCTGTTGTCGGATGAGACGAAAAATCTCTTTTTCCCCCCCCCCATGCTCAAAAAAGACATTGGCTAATGTGGGCAGAATATTGTGCCGGCGCTGGCCTGACCAGTGAACAGCTTGATTTTTTATTTTTTTTTTAAACTAAATCCAGGGTAAGCGGCAGAAGCGGCATCTCTCCTGCCTCGCTGCATGCGCCTTAGGAGAGGGGGGGGGGGGGTTTGGTGATGTTGCATTTGAGGGACCGATGTTTCGTGGTCTACACAGCCAAAGGCAGCCTTCTCCACCTGATTCTGTGTTTTATGTCTGTGACGACGGAACAGGTGGACCTTTCTTCAGCACATTCAACCGTCTTACTAGGTCATTTCAAGGTTACGTGGCTGATCCCTTTCACTGAGTAGTCACCACTGAAGCGGTAAGGTGAACAGCCGACGGCCTGACACAAACCCCCCCATCTCCTAACGCGTGCAGCGAGCAGGGAGGATGCGCTGTCTGCCGCTTACCTGGATTTAGTTAAAAATAAATAAAAAAATCAAGCTGTTCACGTGGTCAGCCCAGCCCGGCACAATATTCTGCCACATTAGCAAGGTCTTTTTGAGCTGGGGGGAAAGAGATTTTTCGTCTCATCCGACACAGGAGGGATGCTGCTGCTGTGAGGGAGAGAGGTGAGCGCAGTTGGAAAAGCGTGTTTTTTCTCTCTCTCTCTCTTTCTCTCTCTCTCTCTCTCTCTCTCTCTGTCTCCCTGTCTCTACCAAAGCTCCTCCTCTGCCGTAGGAGAGCACAAACCGGTCACATTTTTTTTTGCTGAATGAGAGCAAGAGGGCACGGGAGAGGATTTCCTAATTTCTACCTGGTGCTGTGCCGTGCGGCTGTTTCCTCGCCTCTGTTCAAGGTAAGGCACGCCGCGCCATGCACCTCGCCACGGGGACTGATGTTGGGCTGTTTGGGTCGCAGAGGATGATCCAGCTGGAAGGGCGAAGGCACGATTGAAGGGCAGACAGGCAGAATAGTTGTCAGTGTGGAACAGGCAGTGCAGGCTGCGCATCATTTAGAAGTCAAACAGGAGGACAGGATGTGTGTGTTTCTGTGTGTTTCCTGAGCAGCAGCGTCATAGCATTTACCACTGACTGCAGGCAAGTGATGACAGTAAACCGTCGGTCTTCATGGTGTTTTTCTCATGTGAAAGCAGCAGGTTTCCCGATTGTAAATTGTCACATTTGAACAGTGGGATAGTTAAAGCAGCAGGATGATCTGCGCAGAAGAGCTTCTCTGTCTGTTTGCTGCATCGTGCGTGCGGAATCTGATGAATTTGTAAATTGGCGTGTGAGGGAAACCACTGAAAACACTTAATGTTATGCAGCTTATGTAAGTGGCCATACAGTGACCACAAGGACAATGCAGCTTAAATTAGAGGTTAATGCTAAAATGTGTGTATGTTATATTCATTTCAGAAAATATATTTCCATAATGTATTTGTTGTGTTAATTAGAGAGTTCCATTACAGATTGCTATGAGAGAATACAAAAACTATGGGATGATTTTTAAAACTCAAAATGTGCCTTTTTTTTGCCTGCATGTCATTTTAACTGGTAATGAACTATTTCATTTTTATTTCTGAGTATCTATGAAGATTTTCTTTTGGCAGTGGTCAGGACAGTGATTTGTAACTGACAACAACAACAACAATCATTGGTTGATTTAGAAATTGTGTATATATAACTACTACCAACATTACTGTTGTTTTTTAAATTCATTTAAAGGTTAACAATAGATGATAATCAATCAGTTAATCACCCTTTGTTTAAAAATCTTGACATCTTTAAACTTTGTTTATTCAATAACCAAGCAGCCTTTTTTAATTTAGTTATATTTTGATGTTATCGATGTTAATTTTCTGCATTCTGTTGACATTGTCCAGCAGAGGCTAATATGAGGACATCATTTGGCAAACCAGACCCTGGAAAGCACCTGCAATCTTTTCCCCTTGTTTGAAATTGAAGACAACATCATGTGTTGTCCCCGGTAAAACCCGCCCAGACATTCAGAGTGAGGACCCCACACACTGCTCAGACATGGTCTCAGATCAACCCGGCATGCATTCACTAGAGAAAAGGCCGGCGTCGGATGCCGCCTGCAAGCGGCACGCCTACCGCTGTCTGAGGAAGAAGCTGAGGCCAGTGCGGATCGTAGGGTTCGTCCTCAGCCTGGTGGCCCTAAGTGCTGTCTCCTTCAGTGCCTTCACCTGGAACTCAAGGGGGGTCAGTGAGCCGGTGCTCCCCCAGGAGTCGGCCCCCCACAGGACTCTTCTTTCCACCCAACACCAGAGGGACGCCAATGTCTCAGCCGACATGCCACTAGCCATGAAATCTACAGCAGGGAACAACGAGAGCAGTGGGGATTACCCTCCAGACCTTTTCACCCTTCAGGAGAGGCGCCAAGGAGCGGTGGTCCTCCACATGTTCGGAATGATCTACATGTTCATTGCCTTAGCCATAGTGTGCGACGAGTTCTTCGTCCCTGCGCTGACCGTCATCACGGAGAAGCTGACCATTTCCGATGACGTAGCGGGCGCCACCTTCATGGCGGCTGGCGGCTCCGCCCCAGAGCTCTTCACCTCCATTATCGGGGTCTTCATCTCACACAGCAACGTGGGCATCGGGACCATTGTAGGCTCGGCCGTCTTCAACATCCTCTTTGTGATTGGGATGTGCGCCATCTTCTCCAAGGAGATCCTCAACCTGACATGGTGGCCCCTGTTCCGCGACGTCTCCTTCTACATCCTGGATCTGATAATGCTCATCATCTTCTTCCTGGATAACTTCATCTCCATTTGGGAAAGTATAGCGCTGCTGTCCGCCTACGCCACCTACGTGATCTTCATGAAGTGCAACAGCACGGTGGAGAGATTTGTCAAGGGTTGCATGCACAAGAACCAAGTGGTAGAAGTAGAAGTACAGCCAAAGGTGAGTTGATTTCTTGATCCATAAAGTTTTTTCTCACACTTCCTTTGATCACCATCTTCTCTGAAAATACTACTTTATTTGCAATGTCATATAAGAAAGTTACAGTAATGAGTATTAGCATGTTCGCTAATATAACTGATCTTCCGTAGATACTCACACTCATCCTTTCACACAAAATCAGCCAATTTATTTTTATCTTTTTTGTTGTTCTCATCAAGTTAGTGAGCTTTTTCAAATAAGGCTTCTAACACACAGTACGCAACAAGCAATGTCAAACAGGTTATACAACATCGACTTATCACAAACATGTTCATTACTTTGGAATGAAAAGTCAGAAACTCAGCAGGTGTTATGTACGGTGTAATTTCACCCACTAAATTGACCATTGTGCAGTAATGCAGTTTAATAGATTCTGCACAGGGCTGACTTACTGTTCTCCACTGTGGGATTAATAAAACAAATGTGTAATTCTGGGTTAAGCTCTACAAATTGTCTCCTGTTCTGACAAACAAATCCCTTGGAAAATCTCAGACTATTTTTTCTCAACAAATGTACAGTAGATTTCCCACAATGATGCGGTTTTCACATAGTTGCTTGAACGTGTAAACCACATGCAGCACCTTGAGGTGAACAACATGGCTTCAGGACTGTCACGGTTGTCTTGTTGGTTCAGTGCGGAGGCTTTTCAGTGAAATATTTTACTTTTTACTCAACAGCGGTGAATACTCTGTAGACAAGAAGCGTAAAAATCATTACCTCTCGTAACATTCGTCCCCTCAATGACACTTAAGGGCAACAGACACTGCAGTGCAATTTGATACCGGTGTAGAGATTATCCAGACGGATTTAGATTTCTTTGTGACATGAGATGGAAATGAAATTTTGCAAAAGTTGTATTGTAAAGCTTTAATTAAATTGGGATTTATTCTGAGTGCATAAAGGATATTTAAACAGCAGGTTTCACAATGTTGGAAGGGGGAGGGCTCTCGAAGAAGGCAACATCGACATTAGATTTGCAGTGTGTAAACAGAAATGCTCAAATTAAAGCAAGCATAACAGTAATTATTGTCTATAGCCTCGGTTCTGGCGAGTCATTTGATTTATGGCTCCTGTGCAGGAAGAGAGTGAGAACGGAGGTGCACAGGCAGAATGCCAGAAAAGACCCAGGTGACCTTGAGCTGCAATGGATTCTGGGTACTTAGTGTGTGTGTGTGTGTGTGTGTGTGTGTGTGTGTGTGTGTGTGTGTGTGTGTGTGTGTGTGTGTGTGTGTGTGTGTGTGTGTGTGTGTGTGTGTGTGTGTGTGTGTGAAAAGTACTTTAGATGGGGGAAAAAATAGTCCGAGGCAGATGAGTTAATCAAACCCCATCATGTCTCTTCTCCGACGACGCTTTAAGAGGCAGACCCTTCTCTTCCCTCTTGCATTGTGGGTAACAATGTCACGGCAGCCCTTCCCAGCAAGCTGCATTAAAAACATAGAATACATGAAATATATTAATAAAACATGTACAACGTTACAGGATAAAGCTTTTATTTTTGCTTGCTAGGTTGTCAGCTAACCTCTTTTGTACTCTCTGGGTTACAGGGTTAATAGAACTAGAAGAGTACACATATTATTAGAATATAATCATCAAAACACCCTTTTTTTTCTTAATCAAGCTTGGACACTTTGGGGACGTATGTATTTCAAGACGCGTGGTTTATTTTAAGATTTAATTGGCAATTGAGTGTGTGTGTTTGCACACATTCTTACATGACTAATGGAGGGTAAAACAGGAGAGCAAGGACAAGTGTCCTGCAAAAAATTATCGAGAACTTTCTACTGTCTTTCTATTTTTAAGCGATATTCACTACTACGAACTGAAAGAAGCTTTTTTAATATAAGTTAATCATTTCACAGTCATGCTGAGCTCCAAGGTGTCCTTAATCCTCCACGCAGTAGTGTTCAAGAGTGAAGTATTGCATTGTAAGGACCATAGAGTGTTATATGACGCCATGCCCTTGAACTAAACACTTGATTAAAATGGGCTTCCCTGGATTATTGTATGCATTATGATATTGGGACGTCCCAGTTGTGTGTTACATTGCCGCTACAGGCAGAAACAGAAGTGGTGTTGTGGTGTCAACCTCAGGACAAAAGTGCGTAGGTTAGAAATTGGCAGTTGGCCATCAAAACCATATGATGATGTACGATTTTAATCATAGAGCAATAAGGAGCGCCTTTTTCTAATGTTAGCAGATGATTTAAATAGGCTTTATCAGTGATTATCAGCCGCATGGGTCGGATTGTGTTGTTCAGAATTGTAGAAGCTGCCTTTTTCCCCACTGCAGAACTGCTTCTATTGCGTTTTATTTAAAGTTTATTTTGGTGTGAGTTGTTTGTTCTTCTCCTGCTAACATAAAAATAGCTGGCTTTGTTTCTCTTATTTCCTCGACGATATTGCTTCCAGGCAGAGCGTTAAATGGTGAGAGGAGGACTTGCTTTTCAATCATTTGACAGATCAGAGGTGTCATTTTTCCTATTGCCCCTGGACGAGCTGTAACATCATCAATACAACACGAAGAGAACTCTCTTTGTGTGGATGCTATTTAAAGCTATTGTTTTAAAGCACTTCGATGTTCAGCCTCCATAAAAAGTAATCTGCAATAATCTCTCTCAATCCAGTTAACACTACCTTGAATGTGCCATGCACTTAGACACACTTGGAATTACAGCAAAATAGGAAAGCAAAGGCTTTTAAGGCCACCTGATGTATTTCCTTTGTTTTAGCTCAGTTTTGGTCTCCACTGCCTCTTGTATAGAAATGTCTGTTAAGCAGCTAACGCTCCACTGTGTTCAACTAGTGGCTAACTGTGGCTCTCTGATGCTAGGCTAGTAGCGTACAGTTGGATATTTTTATTTTAAAATGTGATTTATCTATTTTTATCTTTCCCCCAAACAGTTTTTGAAGGATATACAGTATGTACCTCTTAGTTCTGGCCTGATTGGTCAATCCCTTTCTTTCCCTAATGAGTGCTTATCTGCTGGTTAATCTCACACATTGCTTTAGTCCACATTATCCCTTACTTAACAGAGGTTATATCAAAAACTCCTTTTTGTTAATCCTAAAATATTCAGGAAGAGACTTTTCAATGCTATAATTTGTATATTTTGGTTGCGTTTGCCTGCAGTAGTAGCATGCTGGCTTTCTGACACATCTGGCCTGTTAGTCCTCCCTCTGCATTAAGGTCAAAGGGTGACTACACTGTCATACATCTTGGCCCTCAGAGCTACGAGGGTAGTCGGGTCAAAGATGGATTCATATAACTGTATCTCTCCTCGTAGTTGTTGCACGTTCTCTTACAGTTAAAGGTCCCATGTCATGCTTTTCCGGTTATTACCTGTCCCCTTGTGTGTTATGAAGGTTTTTATGCATGTAAACGGTCTGCAGAGTCACAAACTCTCAAAGTACACCCTGTAGGGAGTAAAACTCTAACAAAGAGAAGACCTGTCCATGCTGCCCCAGAACGCCTCGTTGGAGATTTCTCTTTTTCCATTGTTTGCTTCCTGAGTTCTGTGACGTGTTAACACCCAAATCAACAACAAATGACCGGATTGGCCCAAATGGACCAATCCGTGGAGCCCCTCACACACCAGGACCCTTGGCTAACTAACAGGGAGTCCTATTGACTTGCATAGAGCTCCCTGAACGCTGGTAATAGACGAGTTGGGATGGTGGAGAAATGCTCTCAGCAGACCCATGCTCACAGCGTTATAAACCTTTTTCTTACTCAATAGGGGGGGGCAGGAGCTCCAACAAGCCGTTTAGGACAGAGAGTGAATACACATACTTTAAAGAGATGCTGTATGAGAAACCAATGTGAGTTTGGAAAATTGCACAGTATAAATCTATTTTAGTATACCTCAACAATGGAATTATGATCAGTGGAAATGTCCATGACATTGGCCCTTTAAGGTTCTTAGTCTGGTGGGGTTGTCAGTGACTTAATGGTTGACTCGGGTCTATGAAAAAAAGACTGATTACTTACCACTGGTTTGTGCAGAAGGGCCAAAGGAAGTCACCAATGAATGATTCCTTCTCCCCACCATCTGAGAAATGCATACACTCCGTAAATCCTTACTCCACAGGCCGCAGGCATAGTTCAAGGTCGCAATAGAGCTACCAGCTCGTACACAAGCTGGGAAAACATGGCGGTGCAAGATGGGGGAGTTTGAAAATCACTAGCTCCATGTTTTTCATGCCAGTTTTCACTGAGAAACAACAGATGTGTGTGTTCCACATTTGGCTGTGCATACTGATGGTGTTCCAGCAACTGAAGCAACCATTCGTCCAACCCTTTCTATTTACTTCTGTGTGCAAAAACACACATCGGTAAGCAAAGCTGGCATCTTAACCACTTTCCATACTGAGTCCATTATAACACAATATAATGTAACCTTTTTACAGTTAACCTCTCTTTAAAGAGCTACGTTTAGACCTGATTTTACAGTAGCCCTGAGGGTCAAAAGCTAACAACTATTCTAAAAATATAACAAAGACAAAAATTCCAAGGAAAACCTCTGATGAGGAAAAAATCACAAAAGAGAATTTCAGAGACGCTATACTATAATGCGAAACAACACTTCACTTATCAAAATCTATTTTTTTCTTGTGAAATGTTGTGTTTTGACCCTCGGGGCCACCATACTAAAATGGTTTGGATATATTAGGAGCAACAGTGCAGACTTGCTCTGGCTGTCATGGCATTAGTGGGGTCTTTCATCATATGCAGCACCCAGCCCCCTCCTCAGGACCACCTCACCAGCTCTCCCCTGGCTTATCTTGTTATCTTGTGGTCTCTCATTGTTTCCTGATGGACTGACTGGCTTCTTTTGAAATACTGGCTGAGGCAGATCAGATTAGCCAGCACTTTGTACTCTATGGCTTTATGAAAGAGTGACGAGCTACTGACATCGTGACACACCGAAAGTCAGAGTTTGTCAGAATTGATGATAAAGTCATTTGAGTGACATCTTCTGACAACATATCACAAACAACCACTGGTTGGAGAGATAATATAACCTTCCAACGTATAGTTAGTAGGTCAATTAAAGGTGACCTATCATGCAAAATGCACTTTTGTACGTCTTTTATACATGAATATGTGTCCCCGGTGTTCCAGGGAACTCACCAAGTGTCAGAAAACACAACCCTCTCTATTTTCCTCCATACCCAAATCTCTTAAAAAGGGGCTGCAACGGATCTGATACAGACTGATCCAGATTTGAACACTTCTATGACGTCACAGAAGTGGCGCTACGGCTATTGGGCAAACTCCACCAATCAGGAGGAGACAGACACGGACATTTCCGTTCAAAAGCGCTGGAGACGCTGTAGTACATATGCCAGGCCTGTAGATGGTGCTGTTCTCACAGAATCAGCCCATGCAAAGACATATGTACTACAGCGTCTCCAGCGCTTTTGAACGGAAATGTCCGTGTCTGNGTTGTGGCGGTGACGAGGGACAGGAAGAGGCTCCTCAGATGGACACGGGACAGGTGAGGACCTTGTCCTCCAGCATGACGCTGAGCACCAGGAAGACGAAGTACAGCATGAACATGATGAAGCCCAGCATCTTGCTCATGCGCCACTTACAGGCGGCGATGGAGATGATGACGAAGAGGAGCATGATGAAGAGGAGCACAATGGCGCAGAAGAGGCCGTTGGAGCTGACTTTCACCGGAGACATGTTGTTGATAAAGGACCATAAGAGCCAGGGGAACGGCAGTCTGCGAATAAAAAAACACGTTCAATAAAGCTTCATGTTGTAAGCAATTACTAGGTTAAGAAGACAACAGTATGTACAATTACGAATGTCACTACTTCAATTATTTTGAATCTAGATTTCTTTTTCTGTTATGAGAATTCTCACACACAGATAATATGATTCTAATTTGACAACAATTTAGACAAAAGTCTAATTTGACAATAATTTAGACAAAAGCTAATCAAAGAGCAACTTAGCAGCACCTGCCCATACTTTTATTTCTCACCTTGCTTCAGTTAATAAATAATAATAATGCATTTTATTTATAGAGCTCTTTTCTAGAAACTCAAAGACACTTTACAGAGTAAAAATTCATAAAAACATAATTAAACCAACACACCTAAAATATATATAAAACACAACAATAATTACAGACATATAATAAATATATAAATAAATAAAGGACCTAAAGTTGTGCACTAAAGGGTTTTGCCTTACACCGTTGTTACATCGCAATTATATACTGTGGGAAATATAAATAAAGCACGACACAGCCTGATTACATGGGTAATCGCCATTTGCTTGCACTGAAGTTACCTTCCCCCACCTAATCCTTATAAAAAAAAAGGAAAAGGTAAAGGCCGAAAATGGTAAGGAGAAAATAACATATTCATATAAAGAAAAATGTAATCATGTAAGAGGCCCTGTGCGTACCCTACTGTAATGTCGAAGATGTTGGAGCCGACGGAGCTGGAGACAGCCATATCCCCCAGCCCCTTGCGTGCCACGATGACACTGGTAATGAGGTCAGGGATGGACGTTCCAGCTGCTAATATAGTCAGGCCCATAATCTCCTCCGTAATCCCGATGGTCTCTCCAACCTGCAAACAAAACGAAAAAAGGAAAAAAATAAAATAAAACTAAGCTTTGGGGTAAATAAAAACCTAATCTTTTGTTCTAGCTATTTTTAATTTCCTTGTGATGCTTGGGAGCTGATGGAGGTGATAAAAAAGCTCTCTGTTTTGAATAATTATGTGGGAGGATTAGACAATATGGTTTTGTTTGAAATGTCAAGGATGGAGAAACGAGACGACTGCATCTTCCTTTGTTTTTTTGAAAAGGATTATGTTAGGATTTTACAATGTTCTGTCGTGATCACACTACACCCAATTCGTCATGTACAGGGGGAGTGAGTCTGTCTTTGGGAAAGTATGTACCTGGTGAGCCCACCACACCATTAAGTAGGAGAATGCTGCAATCCAGCAGATGGAACCGATGAAGGAGATGGGAAAGAACCTTTGGGCAGTCTGAAAGAGAAGAAACACAAAACGAGTTCAACACTTCTCCGTCCCACACTGAGGATTCTTGTTTTCAATGTGAGGATAGACTGTCTCCCACACCGGCTTCCTGACGTCGGGCAGCGTTAACCACAGTGGGAGGACGATGGGAATGATGAGGAGGTACGTGATGCGCTTGTGGCAGGAGTCAGGCCAGGACAGGCTCAGAGGCTGGTCGTCCTCCTCCTCGTCCTCAGCCTGAGAGCAGAACACAAACAATAGAGGAGAGGTTATAAAACATTCATCAGGATTGGTTGTCATAACCCAGAGAATTACAGTTTTAAACAGGCTGTAAAGTTGTTAACAAACACGCAATAAAGGTACTTGATGGGTTTACATAAAGATCATGGTTCGGACTAAAATAATGATGGTTAAGTTATGTAAATAAAATAAAAAAGGCGGTCCCAACATTTACTTTTCGGCTAAACATAATCGACAATGCAGACTGGTATGACAATAATCGTGTTGTTGTTTACTTGTGCATCCACATCACCAAAACTGCTTTTTTCCAGCTCAAGAACATTGCCTGCCTCTGACCCTCCCTCTCTTCTACTGCTGCTGAAACCCTCATCCATGCACTCATCACTTCCATACTCGACTACTGCATTAGGCTAATGCAGTAGTCGAGTATGGAAGTGAAGAGTGATGGAGGCATCTCACACCTTCACATGATGATTTAAAATTAGCACACTCTACAGTTTACCAAACAAAATCCCCAACAAACTGCAATACGTCTTCGACAACCTCCACTGGCTCCAAGTTAAATACAGAATCGACTTCAAAATATCACCCACCACCTTCAAAGCCCTGAACAACGTGGCCCCTCCCTATCTCTCTGACCTCGTCCACTGTCCCATCCCCACCCGCTGCCTCAGGTCCGGAGATGCAAGCACCCTAAAGACCACCAGGACTAAGCTCCGAACCCCTCCCTGTACACATCAGACAATCAACCCCCCTATCATCCTTCAAACAAGCCCTCAAAACCCACCTCTTCAAACTGGCTTTTCCCTTGGAACCCCCACCCCCCATGTCATAACTCGAAAAATGCGCTATATCAATTAAATGTATTATTATTGTGCATATATCTAAATAAAACTAGAGAGGAATCATGAAATAACATGAGGAAATGCACATCTGGAATAAAGAAACCTTAAAGGCTAATAAAAGGGAACCTAACATTAGGTCTATATCTGTTTTATACTTTCAAAAGGACACGAAGCAAACCATTTTTTATATCAAAAAGAATGAAAAAAATACAATATGCAAACAAGAAACTAACCAATAAAGAAAATAACTTAACACAACAATTACAACAACTGTTAAAAAAAATACTAAAGGAACAGAGAAGTGACATTTTAAGAAATGTAAATACCTGGATATTTATCTGAATTATATTGATGTCAACTTTGTTAAATAACTCCAGAGTTTGAAAAAATGATGCCATTTTAGCCTTCAAGCTTTATTTAGTGGCGATTCTAACCATTTTTGATATTTAATAATGAGTGGAGACGATATATAATACAGTGTAATCACTTGGTGTTTCATTCAACTTACCTTTAGCTAAGTCAGGCTTTTTGCATGTTCCTATAGCGATGTCGGAAAAAGTGTCTCCTTTAGGGTAACATGTCTCATTGGGACACACCTCTCCATAGCAACTATCTGGAGGGGTGGGTAGTGCAACACAAGCATTCAGGAGGCCTGCAGAAAATGGAAGGCAGGAACTGGAAGTGCATGTGCTTTTTGCTCAGCGGTGACCTTAAGACAGAGGAGTGTGGGGAGAGTGATTGGGGAGATTGCAGCAAGCCTGAGGGCCCCCCCCCCCCCCACACCAGTGCTGAGGCTGGCTGCGGCGGCACACCCTCGGGGGGGCTGATTGGACCTGCCACTGGAATGCCAAGTGAGCCAAAGACTGTCACCTCGCTGCAGATCAGCCTCACAGAAACGGTCCAGAGACTTTCTGCAAGAAAGACTCTAAATCTCCTTTTTATTTAGAGCATTATCTGTTGTGTCCAGAGTTGGGAAGTAGTGGAGTACAAATACTTTGTTGCTGTACTTACAGTACGTGCATTTTTCTGGTATCAGTACTTTACTCCACTACTTATTTTTCTGACAACTTTTTACTTTTACTTCTTACATTTTTAACACCTGTACTTTCTACTTCTTACATTTTCAAAACAGTCTCTTTACTTTAGTTTGAATGTGTGTTTGGTGGCGTGATCGTTATTATTTAGAGTCATTGTGTGCCTATTGATTTGAACACGATCCCTGTATCCATCACTTCCTGGTCTTCTCTAAAGAAGAGGGACCAATGAAAACATTGTCATGTTGCCGTTGTTCAGCATGGAAACATTCATTAGCTAACAATGACATTATTGTTCTATTAATATAAAGGGAGGTCAGGTACTCTTTAAAACAGCTGCTAGTTATGGGTACTTTTTACTTAAGTACATTTCAAAGCACATACTTCTTTACTTTAATTGAGTAAAGAAGTTTAGTCAGTACTTCTACTTTTACCAGAGTATTTTTAAACACCAGTATCTGTACTTCTACTTGAGTAAAGGATGTGTGTACTTTTGCCATCTCTGGTTGTGTCCACAGCAGCGAAATCACTCTCTACTAATCAATCTGGTACTTTAAAACAACAAAGCCTTCTGAGAGTGGGAACATGACTTGGGTCCCTTTGTATCCAATTATACAGGATGGTAAGGAGCCACGGGGACCTGCGGAGAACAGGTCCACACATGTAGATCCACTGATGACCTCAAATGTGTCTCTTGCCCTTTTGAGAGTTAGCCAAGGTGTAAAAATAATACATTAAAAAACACACGCACACACCACACAGAGCGATGCTGATAACAGATGTTCGCTCAGTAAACAATAATTGTCAATCACATTATCGGAGCAGAGAGGGAGGCAGAAATCTTTAAAGATGGCTACTGAAAGAATCGTGAATCACACGGAGCCTATCCTGATGTGACAGCCACCGCTGCTGAGTATTTCACGGTAACCTTGGTAATCAGAGCCGCCAAACAAAAGGCAAAGCTTGCATCACTTATGCTCTAATTCTGATTCCCACCTCTCATTATCCAGATGGCTGCATTGTTATATGTTAAAAGGCCTAAAACCAAAAGCCTGAGGCAATAAATCCATTGCTTATCATACACGTGGAGATCTAAGAGGTTTTATCAGGGTTGAATGCAGTGTTTGGAAGCTAGACTTGGTCATGTGATTTAGCAGGAAGTGATGCAGGATTTTGCTCTTTGCCTACAGCTCTTTGATGGATATGTTGACAGCATGCAGGTGAGCGTTTCAGGCCGACGCTGCACACTGTGAGTCTGTCATCTGTCTATTTCTGCTCTCCCTGCCGAAGAGCCCCATAGAGGTGCTGCTGCTCCCTCTCTGACTTGGTTCCCAAATGCCAGCTCCTAGGGGGCCTTCCTGCCCCGCGGGGCCTCAGTTGGCAACACCGCCAACTCCGAGCTTAAAGGCACTGACTTTTACCAGAGCTGCGAGGGAGGTGTGACATTTTCTATTTTTCTTTTTTAACCTGGAGGCATGCGTGTGCTAAGTAGAAACAAAGCTACAAGAGTTGAAATCGACATGAAAAGTGTGAGCAAATGAGCACATCACAACATAAATGTTTTTGATTAAATGTGTTTTTTCCAACTAATCTGCCAAGCGCTGTAACGATTAATCAACTAATTGATTAGTCAATAAAATAAAAAGTCATTGCCAACCCTTTAGATCTTTGAGTAGTCGGAAATGTGCTTTTTCATGACATTGATATGAAATCTCATATTATTTAGCAAAGCAATCAGATATTCATGATGTTACTTCCTCCCTGAAATACATAATGCCTACATGATGTACACAGTGTGTGTTTTTACTGAAATCGTTTTAGTTCAGAGAGGAGCTCGGATGAGTCACAAATTCCTGTTGGTTGTGATCTTCTCAGAATGTTATTTAAAGACCCGATTACGGGAGCTTTACGCTCTCATACATTATTCAAAATGTGTGCTGAAAGTAGAAAATCCTGTCGTGTATGTTCTACCGAAAGACAATTTGCTGCGAATCCTAGCCTGAATATGAGATTAATATATTTGTTACTTTTATGAAAAATGCCCGTCTGTTGATTTGGGAAATATTGCAGTGCGTTTCTGTCAGCACAGCTCTCAAAGCTTTTAAAGTCAGCTGCTGCTTTTAGTTTGACCTTATTCCCCAATCTTGGTTGCCAAGGCATCCAGGAGGAATTGAACAATTAGCATGACGGGCCTCAGGCGGCATGTGAAGGTGTGAGATGCCTCCAGCTACTTCCTGACTGACACACACACAGGTGCACTGTGGGACACGCCTCTAAATATAGAAACATATGGGAATTATGCCAATGAGATCGTCCCAATCCTCTGAATCACCACCTGGATTATTCTTTACCATACATGTGCTTTTCTGCCTTCACCTGAAGAATATAGTCTATCATTTTGCTTATTATAGGCACACATATTTTCAGCTTCAACGCAGTGATGACAGTTTTATCTTTAAAGACTATGATTATGGAAAGAGTGGGAGATCAATGTGGCCTTGCTGCAGTAGATCGATACACACGCGGTCTTAGGGCTCCTCTTCAGCATTTTCTCCTGCAGTCTATTCAGAGAGCGTCCTTAATGCTCCCTCAGCAGCAGACATGCAGCCGTACCCAGGGGGGGGCATACAGCGGTCTATAAATACAAAGTGCTACAGTATACATTTTTTATCTTTGTGCTGTAAGGCAAAATGCTTCAAAGACTGGGCTTTGATTCAAAGGGTTGTGCAAGATTAAAATCCACCTAAACGGAAACATTTAACTAAAAACAATGGCTCGTGTAAAGTTATAAACCTTGGGATTTCAATGCAAAGTTAACTCTTGAAAGTATTTATTTGCCCTGCTATTGCCATCAAATGCATTCATTGGTTACCTATCTATATAATAGTCTGCATGGTCACTAGAGAGTGCACCATTCCTGGCTGTCCTTTTCTGCGAATGTATAGTGTATAACTGCAATGCATTGTGGGTGATAATACACAACTGGAGCGAGCACCTTTGTTGAGGTTCAGACAAATGGAAGACATTTCCGAGGGGGAATGTAACAATGGCAGCGAACAGCAAATCAAACATATTATTAAGCAACCATGCCAACATTAATTACATCTGAGTTTTTCAATTTGAACCGTATTGTAATATTATACCTTAACAGTACTATGTATTATTTTATTGACCTTAAATCATGTTTCATAATTATGTTATGTATCTATCTAAGGACTGCAGATGGAAATGAGCTATTAGCTAAATTCTGGCATAATTAATCTCTTCTCTTTTCTGAGATAAATGTATTTTTATGCATGGTCCTTGTTGAAATAAATACATAATAATAATAATAATAAAAAAGTTTGCAATTTTTCAGAAAACAGATATCTTTGGTTGAAAATACAACTTTTCACACGGTGAATGGCAGCATGATTCAGTCTGTGTTAGTCAATGAAAGAATCCTCCGCCCCCTCTCCTCTCAGTGTGCCGCTTTGAATCGTTGCCCTTTCTCCCCGGGACCGTCTGCTTGCCCAGTGGGTCGCTGCGTCCCACCATCATCGCTCACGCCAGCACCACTCCTGCAGGTGCCATTCTGTGTGTGTGTGTGTGTGTGTGTGTGTGTGTGTGTGTGTGTTTGTATGTGCCAGGTGTGATTCACATGGGGGTATTGGCACATAAGGGGGGGGAAACACATCTAGTGTATGTGTGTGTTTGTGTGTGTGGGTGTTTGTGTGTGTGTTGTATCTGATCCGGATGGTTACTAATTCCTTTTCTTTATGACCGGGAACACCATGGGTGTTACAAAGTTGACTAAATCATCCAAAATTCAATGAAAGTGGTGGTCAGCAATTTAATATGTTCAAATGTCTACTGTGAAAGATATCATAAAGCCTTAATGCAATCAAATGTAATACAAAAAAATTATGATTGATGAAAGTAGTAAATCGGTCAGATTTGACCTGAACACAACAGGAGGGGTATAGTTGTAAAAAATAAAAGTAAGAAATCATTCCAATGTGTACTATAGGACGGTAAAAAAAAATTAAAAGGGGAGTGATTTGTAAAATATGCATAAAGAAAAAAAAAGAATGCTAACTAGGTAACATAAGATAAGAATAAACACATTTCAATGATTTGTGGTTGTGATCATATTCTAAAGATCTTTGGATCATAGAAAAGTATACAGCTCCCTTTCATGAGTGTTGAGAGCTGTATCCATAAATTCATGTTGTGCTCAAAGTGCACCAGATTGATGCATTTCACTACAACATTTAAAAAAATATATTCCCGGGGGTGCATGCCCCCAGACCCCCCTAGAGGAGGTGAGGACCACTCCCAAATCATGCGGGTTAAAATAATTAAATTGCAAACATTTTCTTTTAGTGAACACTAAAAACGGGTCCCACAGACCCAAACAGCACACAAAGGAAGGTTAAAGGTAAGCATATAATAATGTTCAAATGTGCTAAATATATACACTGCAAAAAGCAAAAAAAAAGAGTAGCTCACGACTTGTTTTATTTTTTGAAAATAGCTCTCATCCTAAAAAAGGTTGGATACCCCTGGTGTAGAAGATAAAGAGGTGTGAGACAACACCAGCTATGATGCCAAAAGAGCAAAAATAATGGCTACAAAATCTATTTTTATTTTAACTTCTACTGCATTGATATTTCCACCAACCTTACTCCTGATCATTACTACCAAATAATAATGTAATATATTTGAAATATAAAAGCCAGTTTGTTCACATAATCCTGAAAAAAGAATTTGCTAATTGCTATGGGGGATTCTTTTTGGGGTTGTGGGATTAAAAATTTACATTTTTGAGTTTGTGTTTTGGCTAAAAAGTGTATTATAGACTTATTAAAGGAGCTGAGGTTCAAATTTCTAAAATAACAATAAATAAATTGACGACTCAATTTCATTATAGGCCATGCTTATTTAACAGCTATTATTAAAATACAGAGAGCCGAAATCCATTTAATCACATGATAAAACTATAGTAACAGTCTAAATAGCTTTAACGAAAGTGTGGATGTGACACATTTAGAAGAATTCTCCGATAGATAATGTGACTGAAAGGTTATAAATAAAGATGGGATATAAAAACAATAATCCTGACAGTATACGTTCTAGACCTGAAAAGTATGCTGTGATGATACCAGTCATGCTTTTGATTAAAATGCTAATATGTTAATGTGGCGCTGTTAGCATAATTTAGCCTGTTGATGAGCATGTATGCCTGGCTTTGATTCTGCCTCTCTGACTACACTGTGGCCTTCAAAGAGCTTCCTCTGGACGCCTGTTTATCCTTTGGTCCAACGCTCTTTGAAGTGAAAAACACAGAAATTGGCAGTGACTGTGATTGATTTAAATACAGCTTGAAGACAACACTTGCAATCAATTTGGCAGTTCTTGATAATGTCATGCTTGTTTAACATCGGCCGTGAAGCTCATTAACTGTTTCAGTGGGCAATCCTGACGAATAATATTAGGAATATATTTTTGGAAATATGAATATTTAAGATTCTTGCCTATTGTCACTCTGATTATGCAAGTACAACAGTTTGAAATAGCTGGAAGCTCGCAAAAAAAAACTGTAAATAGTCATAAAATATAAGAAGCAAAACAAAATATATATAATTATATATATACGAAAAATAATATAATGTTTGTTACGTTCCCTCCTGGACTAGGGGAACCAAAGGGAAGTAACAAAATATAAAATAACCGGGCGAGAGAAAAAAGGAGAAAACTGATTGCTGAAGCCACAAGGTGATTTAATAAGCAAAAAGTAAAGAGGGCTCACCAGCCAATTTGCAAAGTAAAATTAAGGTAAACTGCAAACAACTTTCTTATAAAAGAAAGTGACTAAAGTAAAACGATTCACAAAGATACACTGGAGCACATCTCCTAATAATCAACAAAACACAGGTTACTAGCAGGCCTGACACAGATATAGAGACACCACACCACACCACACTAGACATGCTGCACACATGCAGCCCAGCCTCACTAAACAACAGGCAAATATATCTGATGCCAGATGCTACACAAGCATTGACTCTAGTCTTTCAAATAACAAGCTTCCCCAGATCCTGCCTACAAACTTACCTAACTATCTTCTGGAGCGTGCCGGGCTCGAGGTGGCTGAAACGCCTGCCCCCAACAGGGACTAAATCCCCACCCAGGATTACCCCGAAAATAAAAAAGTCAAAATAAAAAATGAATGTCTGAAGGAAGGACTGATTCAGCCAAGCTACAGTAGAGACTCCCCTATCTAAACTGAGGAAGCTGACCAACAGTAAGAGACTTAAGCTAATGCTACGCTTCTATACACTACTACTTCTACCACTAAAGACAATATCAACACTACACAACAAACAATCAATTACTTACTCCTTGTCTCAAAGGATCTCGGATGAATTTTTTTTTAAATCCATAAAAAATTTGATGTTTGGTCCATTAACTTAGCATAGAAACTCACATTTGGTATCCTTGTTGTTATTTTGGAAATTAAAGGACATTTAAAAATGTTCTGGTAGGTATCTTTAAACATTGTAAAGCAGAAATGTTACAAATTATAACTTAAATATCCCAGGAACATGTTAAAGCGTCTTACCAGAGCGGCTGGCCACTCCGTTGGCCTTCTCACTGTCCTCCACTTGGCATTTCTTTTTAGCGATCTTATGAAGGATGGATGCCTTCTCTCGGAATTTACCTGCAACAGAGTGGCCATCGTGGTTAAACGCAGAACAGAGAGCTGCATGCCGCAGCGTCTTCACAGCCTCTCGTCCTCCTGCCAGTCAGAGCTGCTCCGCTGTGACCTTTGACCCCAGGCGGCTCACATTTCACATTTCACAACATTAAGAGTCAATATGACATTGCATATTATATACTGTTGATCCTGCAATGTCCTGGGTCCTCGGTGGAGGCGAAGCCAGTTCAGGGGGGGGGGGTCTCTTGTGAAGATATTCTGGAGGTCACTCCTGTTTACTTACACACATCAGAAACTCACAAGAGGTGTCAGAGGCTAGCTGGGAACTAAAAGCAACCAAAGGGTTTAGCCGGGGACAGCATCACACATCAACAGTCACACATTGGATCATCATGATACTCCTACTATAGTGTTACTTGTACTGGAGTGCCTCCTGATTCTAGCAAAGAGAAATACTGTAGCATGCAAGAGACATCTGCAAGTCAGATTAAATAAATCATTTTGAAATCACTGGAGGTGGTGAATAAATGGCTGCTGATTTCACTTATTGATTCGATAACACTGGACAGATGATGCTGTGTGACGCTAGCATCACGACCTTGTTGCTTGCATAAACTGCGTGATCTCTTGAAATCGCAGAATAACGGCCCATGCCATGTGTTGCCTGTGACACAATCACAAACAACAGTAGAAGAAATATGATACCAAATGCAAAAAAAATCCAACATTAAATTAGCTGTTAATATTTGATGGTTAGGTCTCATATTGCATGTTGTTTTAGTGCAAAACCTTGAGTATCGATATTAGTTTCACTGACGTCCTGTGCGTGTCAGTTCTTTTGCAAGCATGTCCTACTATTGATCAATGTGAAAGATTTTTTTCCTTCATTTTATGAGGGCATGACTGATTCGTCAGTGGTTGACACAGTGACGCGTCGATACGTCCTCCACCCGACCATGTCAACACCGTCTGTGACCTTCTGGCGAAAATCATTAACCACCCCAAGTCACCGCCGGCCTTCCTCACGTCTCCTCTGTCTCACTCTACATTTCGCTCCCGTTTCTCTCACTCTCACTGTCTTTTTCCAACACCATTTCTCTCTCACTTTGTCTTTTGGTCGTTCGGTAACACAGAGCCCCTCCCCGCCTCTGTCTCGCTTTCAGACACACATGCGCTCAGAGGTATACGCACACATATTTTCACAAGACGGCGTCACACATTTCTCTTCATTGACATCACTCACCTTACACGGTCATTGTCTGCACGTTATGTGCGGCAGTGAGAGTGTGTTTGTGTGTGGGTGTGAGATAATTATCTTGGCTTGGGAATACGAGTTGGGTTGGGCTTTTTTTTATAAATTTCAAAGGAATTCTTTAATGATTAAGAAAACGTCTCTGGCATGAGGTTTCAGTGGGAATACTCTTCTGCAGAGAGGGAAGTCACTAGATTAGCAGATAAGTTTGGAAGGTATAACAATAGAAAGTTCAAATATCATACGTTTGAAATGAACTAAAACATGTATTTACGATTAATACATTTATATATGTTATATAACAGCTAGCCAAGATACACAGAATGTTCCTATTGGATGAATTCCACTAGATGCTGAAATATGCTAAGCTAGTTAGCTGTAGCATGTGTTGAACTGGTTTTTTTCCTCATCATGCCTGGTTGTTGAGTGATGTGGATTGGTTAAGAGTGTTGAACTGAATTAGCTGGATGTTAATAATCAAAATAGATATTTTTTATTTGGTACATTAAGTTTAAGCTAAGGAGACTTGTTTTACTTAATTTAGTACATTCAATTTAAGCTTTAGCTAAGGCTAGCCGAGACTTATTTTACTTGATATAGCTTTTGGGAATGGTTTCACAATTTCATTTTTTTTATCTTTAACGGCAAACAACAAAGAAACATGAAGGTTTGATTTGCATAATGATGAAGAGTTGCAGAGTCTTTAAGAACAACCAAGTCCAGCCCTTCTTTACACAGCCGCTCATTTCCCCTGCCGGCTCTGCCTGTTACACAACCACTGGGTGGATGAGTCACTCCAGTTTGCCAAATTCAGCAACGTACGTCTTACATGTGCCCCCGCGGATGGTGCAAGTGAACTCAGAGTGAGTGCTGAGGCATGGATGATTCTCAGCAATGCAGATGGGGCCAAAGAACGAAAGAAAATAAAAAGTAAACCTTGTGGTGTGTTTTCAGGAGATCTCTTCTGTGCATGTGTGGTTTTACCTGCTATATATATAGGAAATGTGTTCAATTGACCAACATTTAAAAAAATAATCAGTGGCTTTCTCACAAAATCTAATAAATGCAACATATACTCCATTTTCCTTCAAAACATCTTGTTAATGATAACCATAGAAGCACTTCACACAGTAACACACAATATGTACATATTCTCTGGGGAGAAAGAAAGAAAAAAAAGTCAAAAAGAAAAGAAAATGAGAATAATTAAAACAAATATGGCATGGCTACCATGATTTGCACTTATGTCAGTGAAATCTCAGAGAGGTTGTCAAACTTTTTTAAAAAAAATGTTGCAAGCAAACAAACAGATGGGGTTGGAGGTGGAGTGTCACGATAAAGATGGAGAAAAACCAAGAGGGATGACAGGAGCTGACTCAAAGAATCAAGTGAAAACTTTCAGGCTTACCTTCCTCAGTCATTGAGTGATAATATTTTAGTTTCCCATAAGTCCCAAGCTCTACAACATCACAGCAAAAGACAAGGGTAAGGCGACGAACAAACAGAGAAAAGGAAAAGAGTGAACATGACAGAACAACACAGGTCCGCTGCTTCTACATCACATACTGCACAAACACTCACACGGCAACACAAGTCTCTCAGAGTCATCACTGCATAAGTGCAAAACAGGGTTGAAAAACAAATGGAATACATTATAGTATTACAGTAGCTGATAGAAAGCCTGCCATTGCCACAGGATAGATCATTATTAGCAAAAAGAAGAAGAGAGGGGGAAGGAGCGGTTGATACTAGAAGAAAAATAATAAGAGGTTCATACAATGATATATTAACAAACAAACAGAACAGGGAAGTCTGAAGAGAATTTACTGGGTCAACATGCAACAGAAAGATGAGTCCTCCTCTCCTCTGCACGCACGCGTATTCAAAGACTTGATGATTCAGCGTTTTATTTCCACAATGAAACCCAAACAATTAATTTGATTCCCTTACTGTAGCAGTTCTTGGTGCTACTGTAAATAGGGGGTCAGCACATCAGCATGATGAATTGTTCAGGAATTCAAACCAACAGGGAGCGTGAAGCAGCTGAGCAGAAGACACAGAGGCTCGCGGCCCACAATGCACTTTGTCTCCAAACTGTCTCAAAGGTAGTAATTGATATCATGAGGATTTAATTCTTTATACTTCATCTTAAAGGCCATTATTAGTAGCTTACTGTCTCCTTTTCCAAGCCTCTGTAAGACCAGTTCATCCATAATACAAATAACAATGATGAGCACCAAGAGGCTGTTCTGAAGCTGCCTTTTTACCACATTCAAAGCTTGTAAATAGTCCACCTCTCTTTGTTATACCTTGCACGTCTTACGTTATTCAGTGAGATATGTATGTGTCTCAATCCAATGTTAACTTATTCAAAATGTTCTCATTTACTGTTTGTAGCAATATAGGCAAAATTAAAGCACTGTAATATATTAACTATTAAATCAAATTCTATGTATTCCATGTAAGAAACAGGAAGTGGTCTACTTTAGCTTGGCCTCTTCTATAAAAGAGAAAGTGGAAACTCTTGCAGTTCTGCATATCACCATAGGTGCCGCCAAATACAACGAAACAGGGATCCGTGTGACTATGACTTAAATTAGCAATCCCTTCTCTTCACAAACAGACATTTTTAGTTGTTCTGCATGCGTGTTGGTGTACAGTACAGTCAGTACCCACATGCACTCACACTAATATCCAACTGAGCCCAACAGTGAGGGCCACTCCCTCACATGTGAGAGGATTATGGTGCGGATCTCATGCCAAATGGCAGCCTTGGCAGCCCTGAGAACAATCTAATGAGATGAAAACACATCCTATTGCAGAGCGTCTTGCTCATCCACTGCACTCCCGGACAAGTGCCTCAATCCCACATGATTAGGCTGTTTGGGTCTGAAGTGCACCATCACTGTGCGGCTGGCCTCTGACGGAGGCAGCTCTGAGAGCAATTAACCCAATCAGAGCCCTGCAGCCGGAGAGAAGCTGTTGTTGTTTACCAGGGCCCTCTTGTCCTTGGGGTGTGACCTCTAAACCTCTGTTGAGCTGTGTGTGTGTGAATATGTGTGTGTGTGTGTGTGTGTGTGTGTGTGTGTGTGTGTATATGTGCCTCAGTGTGTGTGTGTGTGTGTGTGTGTGTGTGTGTGTGTGTGTGTGTGTGTGTGTGTGTGTGTGTGTGTGTGTGTGTGCACACTGTCTGCTGGGGGGTGGGGTGTCAGGGAAATTCACAGTCTGTGCTGAAGCAAAAAGGCTTTTAACATTGATTATTTCCTCCCCCCCCCATCCAGCAGAGGGTGAGCTCAGAGGGCACGGGAGGGGGTGTGACATGTGTGCCTCCATGTGCGTGTGTGTGTGTTTATTTGTGTGTGTGTGAGGGATGATGGGTTGGTAGGTTGGGGTTGTTCGGTCACAGTTACATAACATGCTGGAGCTACGATTATCCATGGAAATAAATTAAGCAAGGTTTAGGGAGGGATACTACTTATGAAAAGGTTCAAATGTTAACAGTTACTTACATTAAGATGTTTTTCATTACAAGTGTTTTGAAATGTTATGTTTAAATGTGCAAATGAGTCATTATGTAACGCCAACGTTTGGTGAATTAAGTAGAAATCTGCAAAGTCAGTATATTAAACACCTAAATGTGTATTTTGGACACTTCATACCCACTTGTCCTAAAGGAGATTATTGTCAACAGTTATATACCCCCCTTATTAACTGAAATTGAGAACGGTTCTTTGAAAATATATATTTTATCATAATTTGAAAGATACACCAATTGCCTATATGACTTATTTGGCGATGAAGAATATGCTGCAAAGCGTGACTGTGACCTTTACACATCTCTTTATATTTTGTATACAGGTGAAGATGCTACTATTCCACACACCTACCTAAATATAATCTTGAAGTTAGATGTACAAAATGTTGTTAGAACAAACAATTAAAAACCTACCGCAGAACATCAATGTTTTATATCCGCATAAATGGAAAATATATTGCACAATGGGTTTGAGGTCAGTGACAGCGAGTTTTATTGAACCATGTGATCGATGGTCCTGGGTCACCATGCAGACACCTCTGCTGGTGGTGTGTGTGTGTGTGTGTGTGTGTGTGTGCGTGTGCGTGCGCGTGCGCGTGCGTGTGTGTGTGTGTGCGTGTGTGTGTGTGTGTGTCGGTGGGGGTTAGGGCTAGGGGCTGGACGAATGGATTTAACTCTAATACTAAATGAGTGTTAAATTAATGAAAGTCATGACATAGAACAACCAGACCCTGTGTATTTAAGGTTACTCTTCCTCTATTGTTTCCCTTTATTTTTTGCTTGTGTTTGGGTAAACATTACATCATCACAACCTTACGAAGGGTTACCCTCATTTGCCGCCCTTTGGCTGATCTCCTTCTGTGCCTTGATTAGAAAACTGCCACAAAACAACGCGCCACATGCCCGTTCGTCCCACCCGTTCATCCAATAAGCACCCTGTCTGCCAACATGGGTGTATGGCGGTTCACCCAAATGACCTTGTCCTCTCTATGCTCCGCCAGCGAGGGTCTTTGGTTCAATGTCTGCTCACAAAAAAAACTGCCTAGCATCGACCACAATGATCTCCAAGGCCAAGTCGGCACAGTGAGCGATCTTTCCAGTCAGCGAGATAATGATCTGCAGGAATCGCCATTTCTCATAAATATGTTTACTATACTTCACCGCATCATCACAGAGCAGTGCTTTTATGTAAAGGCCGGGATATTTTCACTTTTTTAAATTAGCCATGCTTTCTTAATTCTGGTATTGTTGGGCAATATGTGCAATATATATATATCCTCAAAACTGTTACAGGATGTGTTTTTTGTAAATTATGTAACTTTTTTTATTCTAATCTTTTTTTAATTTTTAATTTTTTTATGCATGCTACTTCGGTAACATTAAGCTGTCTTTGGCTCTTTTCTGCTGTAACTATGTAAATGTCCCCTCTGTGGGACTATTAAAGGTATTCTGATTCTGATTGTTAAAAACCAATGCAACTATCGAAGAAAAAAGAAGCTAGCATGAATAAAATAAATGTAATAATCTCAGAGGCATACGATTAAGATAGAGCGGACATTTTGGGACTGGTTTTGGATTCCGATCCCTAGCGATGGACACAGAGTTCACATCTCAGAGTGATGAATGTTACTGAGGGGACGAGCCAAAGGCGGCACGCAGGCAGAATAGTGAGTGCTGTTTTGGGAGGCTTGTTTCAGCATCCACTGAGGCTCAGACAGAGCGAGAGCCACTCCGCCCCACTCTCTTTGTGGTTCAATATTTGATGCCACTCCTAAGTGATATTGTTTGTAGCTCCACACTGATGGAAAAAGAGATGAGGGCACTTGTGACGGGAACTAACTGTACCAGACTATTACGATGTTCTCTCCAATGAAAAACAAGCAGGATTAAAGAGCTATTATTAAACTGAAGGACGTTCACGGTAACAAGAAAGCTGTTGTTCTTGGATGCTGAATAATATACTGTATCCCCTCATGGAGCATGTGAATAATCGATAACAGCTTTGTGGGAACAGCTAATTGTGAAAGAGGGAAACAAATGTTACTCCGGAGCAGTTCATCCAGATCTTATTGACTCCTGATGAAGGGCGTGTGAGGAGGACTGAGAGAAAACAGCTGACAACTTTTCACCTTTTGCCCGAAACACCAAAAGTCATGATTGAAGCACAACGTTGTGGAGCTGAGAGACATGAATGTCCATATTTAGGAGGACAGGAAATAAACAAGATTCCTCGTTTTTGGGCGTCCGCCTGTCTCACAGAGAGCAGCAAGACAAAGCAAAGGGAGTTGATAAGAGGAGAGAGAGGATTAGGGACGATGGGGAAAACAATGCAGAAATGGTCACAGAGGGTTTCCAGGGGGAACACATCCACAGAAGAGAATGAGCTTTCTGAAGGACAGAGGGGACAGACAGCACAGCGGCGCCGGGGGGACACGTTTACAGGGGACACGTCGGGCAGGAGACTTTCCTCCAGGCTGTTGAAATGAGAATTGTTGGGGAGGGGTGGGGGTACAGAAATTAGAGTAGTAACTCACCAGAGTCAGCAAATTCTGAGGGGACAGTAGGAGAAAAGAAAGAGAGGATGACAGAAGCAGAGAGAACATAAATCCAGGTGATATTGGAGAACAGTAAATAATTGATTCCAGCTGTGTCTCGGAGCCCCAAAAAAAAGGATATTTGGTGACCTGTAACTTCCGTGCAGAGAAACAAATTCAGATCATAAGAATAAGAAAACAGTTCATAAGGAGTCGCAGAGCTGTGCTGTGAGGAGGGGGAGAGATGCTGTTATAAATGCTGTTAGGAAGCATGTTGAAAGACCATTTTAACATTGCAGAACAAAAACACATTGGTAATGAGATGGCTTTTGATTACCCACCACATCGCTTGGCACTGTAAGTATGTCAGGTGTTGACTACAATATCCACTTGAGTTCAAACTATTTACCTTTTGGGGTCATTTTTATAGTTATCATTCTTGCTGTAGTTCGATTCATGTGAGAAATAAATATTTGAGCCTAAAATAATATGATATATGGGAAAAATACTTTATTATCCAGAGTTAGAGGAGATGACTGACACCACTCTCGTGTGTAACAAGAGGAAACAGCTAGCTTGGGTTTGTCAGAGCAATAGCACATCTTTATGCTAAGCTAAGCTAACCACTATCTGGATATAGGAGACAAAATATCTATACACTTGAGTATCACAATATTACGCCTTGTGATGAGGTTTCGATTCCAAAAAAACACACAAACCTTTTAAATGAATAGTTAGTATGCATAGGTTTGTTGCAGACAGTGGGTCAGTTTGCACACAAATTACTGCCATGATGGTAAATGTGAAAGTTATAATTGTTTTGATTGTATACAAAATCTGTGTGAGCTCATTTTAGTATGACAATTGTTCTAAATTAATTGCTCTGCTTATGGTACTGTAATATGTCGCAACATCATGATATGTATGACATCGAGAGTGGTATCAATCTTGTAATCCATGTCCAGGGAAAAAGCAATTAAGTGTATTTCCCATATATATTTTCCACACACACACTCAAAGAGACCCACAAACATTCACTTAAGTTTATTTTACCCCAAAACAGGCCGCTGTTGAAAAATAAAATCTCCCAATTGTGTTATCACTAGCTAAAAGGACGATGTAATCAGTGGAAAGTATTTTAATGTGCTTGTTGGAAAAGTGTTTAACCCCTATAGGCTCAAACACTCTAACCGCCCTCACTCTGAAAGTCTGACAAATGTAATAAGTTCCCAGCCCAAGCAAAACAACCTCAGACTCTGCTTCGGCTCGGAAGCGAAGGCGACTTTATTTTGAGAAATGGTCATAAAAAATGTATGGCTTGAGTCCTGCCGCCTTCCCCCCCGACAGCCCAGCTGAGCTACACTTAAAGCAGAAGAGCACGCAAGGACAGTTAGCACCGCCTCTCATAGATGCAGCTGCCATATCCCGGATAAAATGTGGTGTAGCATTAATGATATCAGGAAATATGCATTGTACACAATCACACGTCTCCCCAATATCATTAGGTTTGCTGGATGTGTGAAGACGACCCACATGGACATTTCAGCCGTAAGTGTTGCTTTTGTTCTTTCTGGTAATGAATTCAATCTTTCCGTCATGTCACACTGTAGTCGTTGCTTCAGTGCATTTATTTCCAGTCAGTATTTTGCCAAAAGACTCATCAGTCAAGTATGATATAACATCTTGGCAGAATCAAAAAACTGAATTTTGAATCCACTCAAAAATAACACAGTATATGTATTTTGATGTTTTTAGATGCTTGGTGGGATTTGAATTCCAAACCCAAATGCCGTCTTTCATTTTCTGCCGTCTTTTAATCTTCGTGCTGTCAAACAAGCAGTAAATATTTCAGTGTACAATCATTATGGCGTGTTAGAAGGCTCTGAAGGAGGGGCAGGGTGGAGTATTTACCTGCTCTCCGGTACATATACAACAGGCAGCAGCAGCCTCTGATTTACATTATAATCTCCGAGATGGAATACACTCAGAATTGATGCATGTTAATGAGCACTTTAAGGCCCATCTCGGCAACGATTATTAATCTTTCCTGAGCTGACTCATTCTAGGTTTGGCTTTTAAGGAATGTATAGTCATTTTCGGAGAGCAGACATCTGCTAATGAGATCACATCCATCCAGAGGGGAAATATTCAGGTTGGTCATTGTTCTGAGCTTAGAAATAGGCTCTTCCCATATGTTGTTTATTTTCTTTAGAACCACCACCACTGATGCTTTTAATCCAACGCCACGCACTGTTAATACATTACTATGGAAACTGGAAGGGGAAAAAGGAATAAACACCCATATTAGTCAGTAAACAGGAATTAGCATTCAACATTCATATTCATATTTTTAAGCCTTAGGATTCATCGTCATAAGACCTTTCACTAAACAAAGACACTGATGAGAAACTCCCGGTAATGTGAATTTTTCTTTCCCCTGGTCTCACAGCACCATTAACATATTCCCCTCCGTGCCGAGCACTGACACTGCTGTTTTACATTTCCTTCAGCTAAGCTAATAGGCCTTGATGTTGGATTAAAGTAGAATGATCTTCCACCTCAGCTCTGACACAGCACCGCACTCCCCTCGTCTCTACGGATAGGCTATTTTAAAGAATAATCATTTCTGTGTTGGCACATAGGTGCTAGAAGGACAAAATGTTAATGGTGGAAACGGCAGATGCATGGATAAAAGTACATTTTCTATTTGAACTGTGGACTAAATTAAAACTTTGCCAGAAACAACATATGGTGCTGCCAAAGAAATAGGTTCAGGATATGAACATATGTTATGTGCTTAGTTTTCTGACAGTAAAGGTCATGGGTTTTTGGATTCCATTCACATCCAGTACATCTGAAAGAAGTTTTTTAAGACGAAAAACTAATTGTCAGATGTATCTTTGAAGAGTTTTCTACGTGTGTGTCTGACTTACCTTCACTTAAAGGGTCCAGCGTGTGGATCATGAGCTGGAAGATGCTGTTCCTCATCAGGCTGTTGTGCAGGGAGGCGGAGCTCCCCCCCCTCTGAAGCCGAGGCCGGGCCTGTGAGAGGAGAAACACGCTGTCAATCAAACGTCCTGCTGCAGCAGACTGGTAACACTTTCTAGTACGGCCACATCTGTAATTATGCTTTAAAATGCGTTATAATCTCTTTATAGCACTGTTTAATATTCATAATGCTTTGAGACAATAATCACAACAGGATATAAAACGTCAAATATCGTAATATGTCATGACTGCAGGTCACTCACAGAGGGATCAGCATGTATTATATTTCAAGCTGTTGGAATAATTACATTAATAATGTGTTGTTATAAAGCATTATGAACAAATACAAGTGCTTATAACTTTAACTGTACCGTGCAGATTATACAAATAATGTGAGTCTTGTTAGTATGCATCATAACATAACTAGACGCATATTCTAGCATATCATAAGTATGTTTATAACGCATTATAGACATGGGCAACATAAAAAGTGCTACCAAGCTTTTAACCTCAATAATAAATACTTTATTCCAACAACTAGTTCTTATGTCTGTCATGAATCAAATATGCTGATATTAACATCAGTCTATCAATTGTAAGCACTTTACTCGAGCCATTATTAATCCAAGCTGTCTGGAATATTATTCCCTAATCCTCTTTTGCATAAAACCTCGCAGCATCGCAGTGTAACTATCGTAAAGTGCCTGGGTTTCTGAAAAACAGAGTTACGAATCCAAGCCAAGGTCACTCCAGCAGTTTGGGCTGAACTTTGGGACATTTGGCGTCGTTGCAGGCGGCAGCTGTTTGGAATGAGTCCGCTTTTGGCTGCGCACAGTTGAGGAGTAGGAGGTGTGAGGTGCTAATTCACAGGCCTGTATGGGTGTGAACGGGAGGAAGGAGAGACAACGCTTCGCCGTGCCACCGGGAAGACTCTCCTTCTGCTGTTCAACCTTCGCAATCCTGGTGAAAGGTTAACACTCTGACATGCTTTTCTCAAGAAGTTTAACAGCATTAAAAAGAGTCTTGTAAACACATGCTTCTTCCTCGGTTGTCTTTTGCATGCTGCGTGCAAAGTGCAAGTGTTGTAACAAGGCTTCAGGAAACAGAGGGGGAGCTACTCTCTGAAGGCCAGGGATAACAGTGTACATGTCTTCTTCACAGTATGGTGGGGAGAAACACAAGCTACATCTACACAGAAAACGGGGACAAACACAGAAGCAGACGGGAAGAAGAGTGTCAATCAGACCAGACCTACCGACAACTTGCTTTCATCCTCTGGCGTCACAGGAATTGTCTTCTCATCCAACACAGAGAGAAGGAAAAGTAGAAGGGGGGAGAGGGAGAGAGAGAGAGAGAGAAAACAGGACATAGATGTGAAGCATGCCGCACACAACCACACAGACAAGACAAAAAGACGCTAGAGAGACATTACAGTTACAGTGATGTGACGACCGACTGTGATGTAAGAGGACGAGACTTGAGTGACAGATTCCTCCCCCCCACTGTGCCTGCTGACGCAGTCACTCACAAGCTGAGCAACATCAGATTGTCTACTTGGATTTCCTTGACATACCCTCAAAAATAGCATTTCACTTGCATATATTTTGTATTCAGTATTCCTATTTCCCATGCAATCCTTATGTAACGTAAACTCAAACACGTTCACCATTTGTTTTTTTCCCTTGATACCGGGGAGCTAGTCGACCATGTTTAAAGAAAACAATTAAGAACATAGATTGCTGGTTGCAGCATTGCAGCTGACAACATGGAGAAAAAAGAAACCTGTGTTTCAACTAAATTGAAACGAAATAAGTGCCACTTATCAAAAAGCACAGTTAAATGCCGTATTTGTGCTATTGAAGACGAAATATTGCAATGAATTTTGTTAGAGCTGTATCATTGTCTTTAAAACAAAGTTACAATATCTACATGTCTTTTTAACTAAATAAAATAAAGCTTAAAGTAAAAATAGCCTAGTTTTGACTCGAGTGGTCTAAAAACTCTGAAACTTTGTGTCCGTGTTGCCAGTTTTAACACGATAACTTTGTGTGAGAGTGGGCATGTCAAAGCGACGCCAGTCCTTAAACAATCCCTCAATTCTCTGCCATCTCATCGTGCCATGTGCAGCACTGTAACGTCTATTTTTGAAACAAACGCCTTTCACCAACTGCCTCACTAAAGGGCGCTCACTTCATCTCCAAAATTGCTTGTGTGTGTGTGTGTGTGTGTGTGTGTGTGTGTGTGTGTGTGTGTGTGTGTGTGTGTGTGTGTGTGTGTGTGTGTGTGTGGTGTGTGTGTGTGTGTGTGTGGTGTGTGTGTGTGTGTGCTGTGCTGTGGTTGTGTCGCTGTGACTTGTGAAATGACGTGCTTGGAAGGGCCTCTGGTTTCGAGTTTAACGAACACAAAGCTTTGTTCAGATCTTTGAATATCAAGTCTTTTGTTCACACCTTACACCATTTTTTGGAGAGGAGTTGTCAGAATGTGGAGGCACTGATGTGCTGTTGAGTAAAGCTGCACAATGCCAAATGAAATGCATAACATTATTCCATGTGTTGATCTTGTAAGGTTTAGAAACATTCAGGGCCAAATGACACATTTGAAGAAAGAGCCCTTCAGTTGTAAACCCTGTATTCTTCGTATGCTAAATGACGGCTGCCACTGAATTATGAAATCTATGGATAAGAGGAGCAGAAGGGAGTGAGGCGGTCTGTTTCCGTGGGAGTGTGAAAGCTTAACATGTCCTAGTATTTAGATGAACAATTATGATGGCCGTTGATTTATGACACGTTGTAAGCTGAAAAAAATTTTTTCCCAAAAAATTCACCTTGGGGCTTTGAGAATTAACCTTTATTGGGAGCTGGTTTCCTTTGGAGGAGAATCATTATGAGCTGGTCAGGTGTTCCCCAGTGTTTCTGTTTAACAACCATAAATTACCATACATTAGGGTTGGCCTCTGTAAAATACGAATATTGACAGAAATCAGGGAGCTGAAATTGGCCAAAAACGAAATGTAGCAGCTGACTAATCACATATTTCCAGCGAGCTATTAACCTCATTTTTTTCCCATCTTTCATATCTTCAGGTGATTCCCTGCACATTTGAGGTGATACATAACTCTATTAACTCCACATCACCCTCCCTCAAGCAAAGTCAGGAGGTTAGAAACAGTGAACGTGCCAGATAGAGATACGCTGCGTCGCATAACCACGTAAATATTATGACAATAATCACAATGGAGATTAGTTATGTTCTCTGGAGTATTGTGTGTTCCTCTAATACCGGCACTCTGCCTCCAGTTGTTACTAACGTTCGATCAGGATCATTCTTGAAGAGACAGCTAGAGATAAATGTCCTCTCGCCAGCCGCATGCATGTAACCGTTAACAGAATTTATCATAGATGTCATCATGCAAAAATACTTCCGCTTCAACACTCAAATTGCACACGGGGGGGGGGGAGCGGGGGCTTTCGGAGAAATCTGGTGAAAAACGCTGAAAGCAGAACTGGTAGTCCAGATTTTCAAAACATCATCCGCGGATTATATGTCTTCAATTTGAGGGCACAAAGGGCTCTATTTCTGGATGGTGCCATTTGCATTTCCTTTATGCAGCGACATCCAAGCCAAATTACACGGCAGAATAAAAAGCTTTTCTTACACTTTATCTAGTTTGATTAAATCCATCATCGCTGTTTGATCCTTCAAAATCCTTAATATACCCCTTAATATACCCTGGATACATAAGGCGTGTGATAACGGTAATCAGTATGACATTACATAAATCTTATGAGCCACTTTTTGAATCACTTTCCCTTCATTTCCTTTGCAGGGCAGCTTGGTTTTCTGGCAGTTTGCCGGGAATCAGATTCCAATATCAAAATGTGGAATATGAAAGCAAGGACCAAAATGTTATCCAACTTTAAAACCCAGCCTAAGTAAACTCTTACTTATAATTGTAGCTAGCAGCACTAAATCTACAATTTGCTCAATCTAGCAAGAAAGGGACCTTCTTCCAAAGATACTCCTCCAAAACGATCATTATTGATTGAGTATTTGAACAAATATAACAACAATATTTCTAAAACATACTACCCATCATAGCTTTAATAGTGTTTTCTAATGCTTGTCACAAGGAAATGTAGAGAGTAATAACGTGCAAAAGCCAGAAATGAATCGGGACTGACGGGTGTGTGGTGACACATGTGACGTTACTGTAGATCTGAAGGCCTTGCATGAGAAATTCTGATGTATTGAAGCCGTAGTAGATGTGGATATTCTATAAATAAAGCATCTTAGAGCCTGTGTATGTAAAGATATGTGAAAAAGCTGACTGCATGTCTTGTTAAGCCAACTTGCAAAATGAAAGCACAGCTCCGGGCGTTTTTTTTTTTCACTGCACGTGCTTACGGTAGACAGCCTGTCCGTCAGAGCATGACAGAACAGCCGTCGAGATTTGTCCATCTAGATTTATTCGTGAGAGCTAAACTGTTGAGCAGCACGAATGAGCGTCTCCCTCTCTTCCCACCCCCTCCCTCCCCGCTTTGCCTGGAGACGATAATGATGATCTTCAAGGAAAGGAGGGGAAAAGATGCACAACAAGTCAAGAAGCCATCCACTTGCTAATTAGTAACCCCTTCATTTTTCTAACAAGCAGAACTAATTACAGGAGCTGCCACCACGCTGATTTCCCACAAGGCAACGCTCGCCAAGACTAAGCCAAAATTGCTTCCTCCCACTCCCTTCCCATGAACCAATCAGACTTTTGGGATTCAAATAGGGGAATACAAAATGCAGTGTCATTTTTGCAAGTAAATGTAAATCACCCAAAGCTGTTAGATCAGGAACAAGACATTTCAGTCACAGTACGGCATGTTCTTATTGTAAAGTCACTTTCTTTTGTAGGCTACTACTGCTACTGAATCCTGACTGTATAAAAAGGTTCCTAAAGTGATTTATCCACCGGATTAAATTTAGACTGTGCTTGTAATGTTTCAGCGGAGTAAACACAAGAGGTAGAATAATGACCTGATGCAAAAAAACCTGATCAAATCTGTCTTCCCGTCAGATCAGAGCCGGTTTTGATCTGTAAACAATAAAAGGCTGAATGGGGTGCTTTGTTTCTAAGATTTAACAAAAGTTCCTATCCGGGCATTTTCATTTATATTCTGCCAGCGTGTTCACTGCATCAATCTCTACCTCAGAGGTTTTTTTGTTCGCCTCTCCTGCATGACCTGAGAGTTTTTATTAAAGTTATTTATTGTCCTTTTTCCCCCGGTTCAGCTGTTGTCAGACATTTTCCTAACAGGGTAACCAGACCAAACTCAATCGTTGGCTCTACCGTAGACACCCCGAGGCCAAGGGGTAGTCCTGGTTTTACCGGGTATCGACTATAGGGAAAACATGTCTACACTGTAACTCACAGTACAGCTCTCACTGTTCTCTGAATTGCTGTTGCAATGCCTTGACTGAGGCAAATTAGGGCTGGGATGTAGTTTATCGTCTTTTAAGTGAATAACATCAAGAGAAAATCACAGTATATCAAGATGTTGTTGGAGAATACTGTATTCAAATGTAGGCTAAAATAAATTCTTAGTGTTTTTTTTTGCGACAGCAGTGTGCAGGATTGTCTTCATTCATTCAGCCTCATTGTTTCACTCTGCGTGCCTCAACACAACAATTGTGCTCTGGGATTACCCCGGTGTAGTTAAATCAAACTATTGTACTAATCTGATTACTCTGTGTGTGTGTGTGTGTGTGTGTGTGTGTCAATGCATGTTTGATTCTCTTCTCCGTCTCTCTTAGTGTCCCTGTGGCTAGCATGACTACCCGGTATGTATGCCTTATGCACAGATGACGTTATGCATGACTTTATGTTATATAAGAGGCTGTACACGTCCAGCTATTTCCACACACACACACACACACACACACACACACACACACACACACACACACACACACACACAGACAGACAGACAGACACACACACACACACACACACACACACACACACACACACACACACACACACACACACACACACACACACACACACACACACACACACACACACACACACAGAGACATTTAGAGCCACTGGCTGCTGAACATGAAGGGAAAACAAACCTGTAAACTGAACCCAGGATCCAGAAGTGTGCTGCTGTGTGAGGCTGGCCAGCATCTCAGATCGTTGTCAATGTTATTAGTGAACAGGAACTCAGCCGTAACATGATAAGCAGCTCAAGGTAATGGCTAAGTAAACATTGCTTGCTCTGCAACCCTGGGCTCGTTTTCACACTTTCCTTAG